GTTCCTTGCTGACAAACTATTGATTACACAAAAATATTTGTTTGCACACCTACATGTATAATATATCCCCTCAGTGGGACAATAAACAATTTCTATTCCTCTCATACACACATGAACGCACACATAAAATTACAGATTTGAGGCTCTTTATATAGGTAAATGGCTGAAGCGGTTGACATGACATACCACTATAATCCAGTGACCTCCCACATTTACAGGACACATCCAAATGGAAGCCTTGGGTAATGCCATCTTTAGAATTGACAGAAGATACCCTTGATCATCATTAATTTCCACACAAAGGAAGAAGATAAGCAAATATGAAGTAATCACCCTTCGAACAGCCATGTACTGGCCATGATGAAAGATGGATGATCCAATAACTGCATCCATTCTGTGCACAGGTATCTGAAATAAAATGTAATTGTGACTGTATGGCAAAATGTAGCTAAAAATAATTTATACAAATTTTATCAAGATAATCTTTTTACCTTGCTATTTTGAAGGATGACATAGAGATATGCATCAATGACCTGTTAAATAAAAGCTTTAAATTAGTTACTAGATGGGCAGCTTGGGGAAAATACACATTTCAAAGAGCAAGGACTCTTACTTCATCTGCCAGCCAGCCATGTGCACAAAGTGTTCTGAAAGATGTGTCATATAGTTTGTAAGGGCCAACAACAGCTTCAACTTGTCCTGAGTCTTTTAAAGACCATAGTTTGAATACTGAAAAAAAAGAAATTCAAGTTAATCTTTTGACCTTACAAATCAAAAACATTTTATGAGGAACAACAAGAACTTCTGCAAACATGACCAGGAACAGGTCACTGAACACACATGCAAAGATTCGACCAACTGGTCAGAACCCAGGACCAACTGGTCAGAACCCAGGACCAACTGGTCAGAACCCAGGACCAACTGGTCAGAACCCAGGACCAACTGGTCAGAACCCAGGACCAACTGGTCAGAACTAAATGTTATGCGATACTACTGCACCTTGATGCTGAACAGTACTCGAGCACATCATAGGAGTGGGCAAGGGAGACATCCTGGGAGGGGGCGAGGGAGACATCCTGGGAGGGGGCGAGGGAGACAAGCTGGGAGGGGGCGAGGGAGACATCCTGGGAGGGGGCGAGGGAGACATCCTGGGAGGGGGCGAGGGAGACATCCTGGGAGGGGGCGAATGAGACATCCTGGGAGGGGGCGAATGAGACAATCGAGACATCTTGGGAGGGGGTGAGGGAGACATCCTGGGAGGGGGCGAGGGAGACATCCTGGGAGAGGGCGAGGGAGACAAGCTGGGAGGGGGCGAATGAGACAATCGAGACATCTTGGGAGGGGGTGAGGGAGACATCCTGGGAGGGGGCGAGGGAGACATCCTGGGAGGGGGCGAATGAGACAATCGAGACATCTTGGGAGGGGGTGAGGGAGACATCCTGGGAGAGGGCGAGGGAGACATCCTGGGAGGGGGCGGTTTACCTACATACTTTATGACAGACTCCCTCTGTTGTGGCTTCTCACTTGAGGCACAACTCTGACCTTCCATTGGAGACTCATCAGGCCCAGCTTGCTTGTCTCCCCCATGACACCTTTTGTAGGGCTTTAGGTGACCGACACTGTGCTTTGTTTTCAAGATTTGACCCTTTGTTGTTCTCAACACTGCTGTCTTACCCAGGAGTTGCTGGATTACATACGGTCCAGAATAGTCTGGCTCCATCCTGGCTCCTTTCCTACGTTATACAGAAGTACTTCACCCCCTTCTTTGAATTGAAAATGTTTGTATTTTTGTTTGCCTTTTTAGCAAAAGCTTCCTTCATTTTCTGCTGTCAGTTTGACATGTTCCTTTACCTTTTCATTTCTATTCTCTGTATTTTCTGTTGCTCTTTTACAAATTGGCTGTATTCTGTAGGTAGGATTATTGAAGACAGCTACATAGTAAAAAAAACAACAAAGTTTGTGTGATACAAGTATTACACATTTGCACATGACATACAAAACATTACTGTCAAATGATTATAAAAAATAAAACTCAGTAAGAAATAAAATATATTAAGTGCTGGTGTG